ACTGAATGAAATAACCCTCTTTACTCTGCGTATCTGTGATAGCTGATCATGACATTCCCTACGGGTTTCTATTACGAATCACATGATCGCTTGGGATTTACCCGAAACCTGCAAGAGACTTCCAGAGGGTGAGAAGGGCGAGATTAATAAGTGAATAACGATTTAAGCTTAAACCCTAGACTTACATTAATGAATGGACGTACTGTGGGTCACACCGACTCAAATAAAAGTTGTCTATTGAACGAATAACAGTTTTACTTGTACCTACTATCGTAACGGCGGAGCATAAATCTATTAGGCGATTTACGCAACCCCGGTTTATATCGGGTATTCCTGTGCACTATGATATAGGGATCCTAACATTAAATACAAAATAATAAATCTATATAAAAATCGCGTTACAAGCTCTGCTCTAGCGCCAAGAGAACGTGTCACCAATGAGCAATGTAACGATGCCATGATATCCCCATGGTGTCAACAACAATCAAATTACGGGAAAATCGTATTTCTTGGTCCTTCCCCCGGAAGAGAAAGAGAAAGTGAGGTCAGGTCGGGAAGAGAGGAACGAGATAAAATTATATGATGTCCATGATAATGGTAGAAAATCACGAACACGTTAAATTCGCTGTAGCAAAAACAATAAAAATCTATAAAATAAGAAAAATTAATTAATTAACAATATTCATGTTTGTTGAGCACAGGTCAGAAGAATAAAGTGAGAACGCTGCTATTTCCTGTCATAAACGTTCCCGCACTTAACACTTACCCAACAAAACCAGCGTGAGACATACGGCTTAACACATTTATGGGAGAAGGGAGGGAAAAGAAATGAAAAGGCTCATTACATGTACTCCCGTAGTTTTAAGACATGGTCGTGGAAGCGTTGGTCGAGCAGATTTCGAAGACTGTGTGTCCGTGTTACGAGCCAAAAGGACGCAACTACCACGCTGCTGCTAGACTGTTACAGCCTGTAGATGCCTCTAAACAATGGCTAGCAGGGGTAGTCATAGCTGTTGACAGCTTGACTCTTTATTTTCATAGAAGAGTACAACACAGTAAAGGGAACATACAAGACGTTGACTTAAGGTAAGCGCTTAGTGCGGTGTCACGTGTCAGGCCAGCCAGCCCTGGGGAGAGGGGCCGGAGGCTGAGGTCACCTGGTCACGGTGAGTACTGGGAGCGAACTGAAAGGTCAGACGAGGTCATATATAATCGTCACCTTAGCTTGCTGATGTGATGGTTCCAACTTGACTTGACGAATTCGTTCTACTGTACATGCCACACACACGTGTGTGTGTGTGTGTGTGTGAAAGTAGTGTACACAATAAAACTGAGTCATGATGAAAAAAGTTTGAAAAACCCTGCCCTAGACAGTGTAACCAGCTGTCTCCAAGACAGTCCATTATGGACTGTTTAGGGTTTGTCCATATCTGGTGTCCCAGCAATACTTTGTCCGTTTTCTTCATCTTTTCAGAGATCTATTCCAGACTAATTTGACTAGGTGATCAATCCTGTCAGAGATTGATAGTTATATATGAGAGGTTATCCAGTATAGTGTCACCCTGCTCTGATAGTCTAGAAATTTATTAAAGGATGTTTCTAGTTACCATGTTTTCTGAGTTAAATGCAGTGAACCGTTGAAGACCACCCTATCTGTCAGTAAAGACAGCTAGGTGTCGCTGTTGCTCGCTACATATCTTAATGGCATGATATAGATACTGACTCGCCATCAGTAGTTGTGCTTGCCCAACTAAATACGCACACTTTCTTTATCTATATCGAGAATCCTTGTCGCTACGTTTATGTGTATCAGTGGAAGTGTCACAATAGATTGCAAGTGAACGGTTTACCATGAGTGAGATGAAGAATTTTATCTATATGCTTCAAGCAATGAATTTTTAGTTCTGTGTTTGAGGTTATGAATTTAGGCCAATATGAACATATGGACATGTCAATATGAACATATACATGAGCCAGTAAGTAATGTTACAGGGATTTTAATGGTATTAATGTTCCAGACATTGAAAAAGAGAATAGCATGGAATGTAAATATATATATATATATATACATATATATATATATATATATATATATATATATATATATACATATACATATATATATATATATATATAGATATATATATATATATAGAGAGAGAGAGAGAGAGAGAGAGAGAGAGAGAGAGAGAGCGAGAGGGAGAGAGAAAGAGAGAGAGAGAGAGAGAGAGAGAGAGAGGTGCGGTGGGATAAGAGAGAGAGAGGGAGGGTGGTGGTGAGAGAGAAAAAAAGGAAAGAGAGAGAGTAAGAGAGAGAAAGAGAGAGAGGTGGGGGAGATAAAAGCGAGAGAGAGAGAGACAAGGATAAGTCCGATACGCGAAGCTGAGCCCCGCCTGTGCTATGCCCATGAGGGGAGCCCGGCCTGTGTTGACTAATGCCGACTCGCTAACGTGAGTCAGCTGGTGATGACTCGGCTGAGCTTTGTCCTTACCCACCATGG